TTTTGTATAGAGACCCGACACTTTGTATTTGTCCCCTTTTTTGTATAGAGACCCGACACTTTGTATTTGTACCCCTTTTTTGTATAGAGACCCGACACTTTGTATTTGTACCCCTTTTTGTATAGAGACCCGACACTTTGTATTTGTACCCCCTTTTTGTATAGAGACCCGCCACTTTGTATTTGTACCCCTTTTTGTATATAAACCCGACACTTTGTATTTGTACCCCTTTTTGTATAAGTATGTTATGTAAATGATCATAAACTATACCTATTATAGTTTATTAAAATGTTTGAAATGTATATGTACCCTAACTATACCTATTATAGTTTAGTATATTTCTTTGTGGTGTTTAAGAATCCCATTCTATGGAAGTCAAATGTATAGTACAATATAGCTATGTTTAACTTGTTTTGTCTTGTACTAATGATTATGATGGAGGATTCTTATAAATTCAGCAAGTAATTTCCTATAATATAAATATATCATAACAAGAAATACATGTAATATATGAAGTTATCAAAGTTTTAACACTTTGCTCAACATGTTACAAAGTGTTTTGATAGTTAGAAGCTGTTAATTAATTCTTAGTCTTTCAGCACTGTTTTAGAAAAATCATAGAAAAATCATACGAAGTCGAAAACTAGATCCGTAAATTCTGAGAGTTCGCAAAGTGTGTCTAGTTTACTCATAATTTTTATCAAGATTTTTAATGGCCTCAAATTTGGGTGAAACAGTCCATAATCACAGACTGGTCCGGATTGATGTTTGAAATGATAGGCAGTTTTGTAAAATTCACCATAAATTGTAGAAAAATCGTATGGAGATGTGCAAGTAGTCATTTTAAAGCTAAGAACTCGAACTATTTGCACCTTGTACAGTTTTGAAAAATAAAATGTTTAAGTTGTCCAAAACAGTCCGTGAATGGAGTGGAACTTTTCTGATGAAGGCTGTTAGAAAAAATTTTAGTTATGTTCTTGGTGTTTTAACTTGTATTACCCCCTTGAAAACTTGAGAAAACATGAAAATGTAGGGGTATGAACTCACCTTGAGTTATTTCAGTAGATAAGTGTTGAAGAAGAGAAGTGTTCAACCCAAGAACACTTGAAGAATCACTTGAAGATTTGAAGCTCTAACGCTAATATGATGGAGTTTGTGTAAGATATTCATGATTTGAGTAGAATGAAGTGAAATAATCATAAGGAGGATGAATTATACTTACTAAGAGTGGAAGAACAATTGAAAATCAGCCTTTAATCTCGAAATTGGAGTGGGAAAAGTTTGAGAGAAAAGTGGTGTTTGATACTTAGTGAAATGAGGGCAAATGAGAGAAATGAGGAGAGAGGATGTTTGTTCCAACTCTAAAAACGTGGGAATGAGTGTAAATTGAGTGTGAGGGACATTGAAGTGACCTAGGTAAGGTGGGGAGGTGTGGTTAGTCAAATAGTGGGTGTGGGGTGGTTGCTTGTGACATTGGATAAGGCAAAGTCAACACTCCACCTTTAATAATTCACCCACTTGATTTTTATTATTTAGATAATGATTTCATCAAAATATGTTTAAATTATGAATATTTAGAGTTTATTATGTTAAAATATAATTTCTGGAGAAAATCCTGCTTTAAAATCACGAAAAACGGGCTTAAAATGTTAAAAATATCAAAAATGGGCTAAAAGTGACAAATTTCCGAATTCTGGCCGAGGTTCGGTCTTCTGATGCTGAACCGAGAGAGAGAGAGGCAGAAACCGATAGGAAAGAAGAGGGAGAGTAGGAACCGAGAGGGGAGAAAGGAGAGAGAGGGAAGGAACCGAGAGGGGAGAAAAGAACAGAGGGGCGGAGTAGAGACCGAGAGGTGGGTAGAGACAGAAAGTGGAGAAGTGACAGAGACCGAGGCTCGGTCCTCGCGTGCATTAGCCAACAGAGGCTCGGTCCTCGCGTGTCTTAGCCAACAGAGACTCGGTCCTCGCGTGCCTTAGCCAACAGAGGCTCGGTCCTCGCCTAAGAGGCCTCTCTTCTTGGTTTCGGTTCCTAAAGCCTATTTTTCTCGTTTTCGCCCCGTTTTAAGCCGTTTTTGACCCGGTTAAGGGCCGAAATGACCCTAATGATTCTAAAAAAGTTACGGGAACTATTTGAGGGAGATTTGGGAGAGATTTCTCATACTTGGAGAGATTTGGGAGAGATTTGACATTCTTGGAGAGATTTCTCATACAAAGAGATATATGAGAGAGATTTCACATACTTAGAGAGATTTGGGAGAGATTTCTCATACTTGGATAGATTTGGGAGAGATTTGACATTCTTGGAGAGATTTCTCATACAGAGAGATATTTGAGAGAGATTTGACATAGAGAGAGATAGAGTGAAAACGATTGAGAGAGGTTCCATGTAGGACAGTTGTGAGTGTCCGGCATCGCAATGCATGGTTCGTAAACCCTGTTAAGCCTTGTTTAAGGATCCTACACACTCCCGATGAGTAAGCATCATTGTTTTATCGGTTTGGCTTGCCACTTACCGCAACTTTTAGGTTAAAGAGATCTAGTTGCACGTACTTTTTGATTTATGTTTTCTTATCAGAATAGCGAGTTGTTTAGTAAATACTGAACGTAAGTCCTAGTACACAAGGGTTAGTTGAGATGACCAGTTTGACTCGTTGACTTTATTTGACTTTGAATTGACCAGAATTTGACGGTTGTCACAGTATATATACACTTCAAGTTTGTTACATAATTTATATAATTCAATGGGGTATATTCAATGGAAAATGACTCTTGAGGGTAATTAACTTTTACGTTTGTACCCATTTGGTACCTTTTCTTTGTATTCAATATATCATCGAACTTGTTGTTGGTGTTTACCATAGCCCTTTTGATCAACTTTTGAGCTGTGATAGCCGGTCAAAGGGTTATGGTGAACACAAACAACAAGTTCGATGGTATATCGAGTACAAAAAAAGGAAAGAGACTAAATGAGAACAAACGCAACAGTTGGTTACCCTCCTGATTCATTTTCCTTTTACTCATTTACAACAAATCCTACATCATCTCCTACTGATATTAATGACTTTATGAGATTCATTCTTGCTTCTCTTCAAAACATAACCTACGAAAGGACATTATTCATACATGTACAACTTTGTAATGCACTTGAATATTTATTAGGGGAATCTTGACTAAGCAGACGCATTTCATGACTACATTTACATTTCCAATCAAATGATTTATCGTATCATGGATTCTAGACAAGTCTACAAACGAGTGGAATCACAAGTACTATCATTTTTTAGTTTACTTAGCTTTAAGATCGAACTCATGGGATAAGATACAACATCAATATGTACAATATTATGGTGATGTGTCTACAAAATCAGCATGATATTGTACATATTGATGTTGTATCTTATCCCATGAGTTCGATCTTAAAGCTAAGTAAACTAAAAAATCACAACACTTGTGATTCCACTCGTTTGTAGACTAGTCTAGAATCCATGATACGATAAATCATTTGATTGCAAATGTAAATGTAGTCATGAAATGCGCCTGCTTAGTCAAGATTCCCCTAATAAATATTGAAGTGCATTACAAAGTTGTACATGTATGAATAATGTCCTTTCGTAGGTTATGTTTTGAAGAGAAGTAAGAATGAATCTCATAAAATCATTAATATCAATAGAAGATGATGTGGGATTTGTTGTAATGAGTAAAAGGAAAATGAATAAGGAGGGAAACCAACTGTTGCGTTTGTTCTCATTTGGTCCCTTTCCTTTTTTTTGTACTCAATATACCATCAAACTTGTTGTTTGTGTTCACCATAACCCTTTGACCGGCTATCACAGGTCAAAAGTCGGTCAAAAGGGCTATGGTAAACACCAACAACAAGTTCGATGGTATATTGAATACAAAAAAAAGGAACCAAATGAGTACAAACGCAAAAGTTAATTACCCTCAAGAGTCATTTTCCCTATATTCAAAGGGTATATTTCCACTTCAAATAAATTGGTTGGAGGGGACAATTATAAATTATAGAGGCGTGAAAAACACAAGTGTGATATTCAAATAATAGGCCCATTCATCAAAATTTTCTAACCCAATTGATCAATCAAATAGTTCACAACGATTGGTACATTAGTGGTCGGCAATAGAGTTGATACAGGTCCAACTGGAGTAATGGACAAAATGAATCCATTGAACTCTTTATGTTAGGCCCACCAAGTAAAACATTATACAAAGCACAAGTCAAGTTTCAAATAAAAAAAATAAAAAACTCATAGTTCATGAAAAATTAGATAATAATAAATTTCCTCAAAGACAGTATTTATAACGTTTTGAAAATTTAAAAAGTTAAGGAAAAAAATATTAAAAATCATAGTTATTGAAAAATAAGATAATAACACCCAAAAGCTGGAGATGCGGGGTATCGAACCCCGTACCTCTCGCATGCAAAGCGAGCGCTCTACCATGTGAGCTACATCCCCATTTTGATGTCGTCTTTGATTTATATTTACATATACTAAAAACAAGTATTCCAAATGGGTTCTTATTCCAGAATTTTCTTCCCCCCAAATCCCCAGTGCTTTCGGTTCCCGCCTCACTTCACTCAACAATCCTCCCTCTCCCTGTCGGGAATTCACCGCCGACCTCCTCTCTCTCTTAGACGCCGGCGCTTTGTCACTGCAGTTCTTCTTCTGGCTTGTTTCTGCAGGTAATCTCGCGTTCTCCCATTTAAGGACTGATTGTTCGTGTTATTTTCGGAATTTATTCTGGTATCGAAAATCTACATAAAGGAAAGGGGAAATGGTACTCTTCATTTGTTTTTAATCAGTTTTGTTATGTTTGTCAACGGGATTTTGAAACTGATCTGTTGTTACTTGCAAGTGCTTGAGTGACCTAGAATGTCCTGTTTTGGAAGCTGAGTTGCTGCAAAATGAGTTTAATGTTGTGCTAACTAGCT